GCTCTATTAACTCAAATCAGACTGTCATTTTGTAACTTTATCCTATTTTAACTATCTTTGGAAACCTCCGAGAAAAAAAAATTTATCTCGCGTTGGGCTGCTTGAAGGCTATCAGAGCCATGCACGGCGTTAGCCGTAATGCTGGTTCCAAAAATTTTCCTAATCGTGTCTTTTTGAGCCCAAGCCGGATTAGTTTCCCCCATAATTTCTCGGTTAAGTCTGATAGCATTTTCTCCTTCCAAACAAACAATTACTACCGGAGCACTACACATAAAATTTACCATCTCGGCAAAGAAATCCTTTTCGCGGTGCTCCGCGTAAAAAATTGTAGCCTGGTGCTGAGACAAACGGGTCATTTTCATTTCTATCACTCGCAACCCTTTTTTTTCCCAAATGCTAATAACCTCACCAACCAAATTTCTTTGTGTTATATCAGGTTTGACGATAGCCAGAGTTCTTTCGACAACCATAATGTTAAAATTAAATCGTTTGATTAACAATTGACCGTTGCTTTTTTCGTCAAAATTTTCCTTTGTAAAGGGCAACTTTAATACCAATTTTCCCTCGACTGGTAATGACCTCTTTCCGACCGAGTTCGATGTTACTATCGATAGTGCTAAAAGGGAAATTTCCTCAACTTTTTTTTTTAGTTTGTGCAATACCCGACTTGTCGAGAATGCCCTTAATTATGAATTCTCCTCCTTTTACTTTTGCTTCCCTGCCCCTTTTTTGTTCCAAAATTATTTTTTTCACCATGGTACGGAGAACTAGCATGACCGGAGTTTGTTTTTTTACCTGGCTAGCGGTTAGATTAGCGATGGCTTGGGCATCAGTATAAACATTTTTCACTTCCCTTAGATTGATGCGGAGGGTAATTTTTTCGTTGCCAAGCAGCGATTTAACCTCATGCACAATTTCTTTTATTCTTTCTTTGTTTTCCCCTACTATTAGGTCAATTTCCGGAAGAAAAATTTCCAGAAAAATTTTGTTTTGGTCGCCTTCCATTCTTAACCGGGAAATATCAGGTAAGATTTGGGAAAAGTAGTCGTGAATTAATTTATCCTTTTTTATTCACTCTATTTGCTCTTTTTTGCTAGTAGGAAAGCAATAGTTGTTCCAAGTTCGCTCTTGATTGGTGCCTACCCGAATTGCATAAGCATTAAATTTCTGAACCATTGTTTATTATTATATTGTTATCGTTT